CTCAACCCAATAAACAGAAAACAAGACCCTTTACAGTTGTGTCGTCGTCGAGTGGCAAAAGAAAAGAGGACACGTAATGAAAGCTTTGATCGTCGTCGTAAAAAGGACGCTAGCAAGGTGAGATGAGAGAAAGAAACGGGTCAACTACAAGTAGCCACGTGTGCGAGACTGCTTTTTTTATTTTTAGTCTATTAGATATCACTGGGTTTTCGACCGACCGTGATTGATGCACTTGTGTGTACTTGTTTCATGAATGTCAAGTGAACTGTGTGTTAGTGGGTTTCTTTAGAACCTTGAATCATAAACTAACATTGGCCGCGATTTTATTCTACGAGCTTAAAAATCTAGCGAATATTCATTCTTCACAAAACAACTATCTAAGCGAACAGTTTTCATAGAAACTCCATTCACTCCAAAATTAGATAGATAGTTTGAATGTACGAAGATACTTGGAGAAATTACTTTGCTACATAGCAAGACATATGTGGACACTTGAATACAAGTCGTGAGAGAAGTAAAGCAATATAATTAATTTCATAATTTTGTCCAAGCTGACAATGTAGATTGCCACTGAAATGAGTTTACACTGTACTAATGTAAATCTTGTCGTTCGACTTTGTATGCACAGCGCACGTACCATAATGAGAGTTAGTGTCGGCTTGTTTATCAGTATATCTCAGTAATGAACAATGTTAACCATCCAAGTTGGTTTCAGTTACAGCAGTTTTTACTTAGATGCGTAAATTTGTAAACTGGAACATACTCTGACACTGCATTTTTTAAATTAACATGTAGTTTAGAATCAAACGCTGATATTTTTATAATTTTCTAAATGATCCTAATTTTTAAAGTGATTACTGCTTCAAGGTAAATAACTTTCTTAACAAGGCCTCAACATTTACTTTCTTGAACATCCTGATTTACAAATCATGATCGAAAAGGCGTTACGATAAGTGAGAGAAAATAATTCTCACGTGTCGTATACAATTCTGTCGTATCTCAATGTAGGCGATGAAGTGCGTATGACTCATTTGATATCATTAGTGTCTGTGCGCGAGCGTGCGTACACGTTTAAATTTTACTCGCTGTGTCATAACTCTAAAGCCCTACGTGCAATAGCTGCGTGGCTACTATAATTCTACTCGTTTTCGGTGAGAGAGCATTATTAAATTCAGCGTTATTGCAGGCAAGGACCCGCTTTATTAAAACAATAAACAAAGAAAACGCTTTTGTCTCTTTTTTGCTCATCGTGTGCGAATGTTTCATGCTAGTTTGCTGCTACCAAATTTTACAAAAGGAGGGGATGCTTGTGTGATTTACATAAACTAATATTACAAATGTTTTAATTAAAAGTAAATGGAATTTTTTATAGAGAATCTTCGATAGACTGAAAAAATATAGAGTGATTACGGCAAAAAGATCGACGAAGCCAAGCTAATAAAACGTGTAATTGACATAACAATTTATTGAATTTTTGAATGCCATGGAAATTGAACGCGCATTTCGCAGTCAGATATTGATGTACACCGCAAACCGGTTAAATCCAGACATCAAAGTGAATTATCTAATTATCCACTTTCATCTTATTATTTTTATCAATTATTAGGACAATTTAAGATTATTATAAGCAATCTTTTGAAATATTACGTCTGGCCAAGGATACAAGGAATTTTCGATTTGGAGACAGAAGACAAAATGAGAAGAAAGAGAATGATTTACCGAGACACGGAATATATTGGTGCTCTCTTTGATTCCTGCGCGCGCGAATAGTGCTACGTCGGCGAACGTGATACTCCTGTTTTCAACGCTTGGATAAGAATGTTCAGATTGTTCAGCACTTTCGACTTCGTGCGCGCCCATGCCGGTCGTATGGTATGCTGAGAGGAGATATGATATATGCTTGTATTATTTTTTTGCAAATATAGAATATCGTTAGTATATATGTGAAGTGTTTTTGTTCACGGATCGTTATATATGTTTTATATGTATGTATATATATATATACACACACACACACACACACACACATACACACGCATTTTTTGTCTATCGATTGCTGCAATGCATTCAGAGTCATTTTAATGTAACGAAAAACTATTAAAGAGTCAAAATAAGTAAAATAGTATCAAGCTTCTAAAGATTTTATGGTAATTTTGCACCTCAACTTTGCAAAAAATATCTTTGTAGTTGAAAAAACTTTTCGCCTTTTTCAGCTCGATTTATTGGCAATTTTTAATAAATGCATCCAACTATATTCACTATACTCTTTTTTCAAAAGGATTATCACTCCATCCCCCGATAAAAAAATTCAAAAATTGTTATATATATACGTACCATTTAATTTCCTCCAATAAAATCCTTTTTTATACAACGACAAAAATGTATCCTGCATAAAATGTAAAAGAGCGCATTGTTTATCCAGCATTAGCCTTTTGACGCGACATCGAGGGAAGCGCAAAAAAAAGCGTAGAATAGAAAAAAGCGTCGTCGTCGTCGTTCGGTTTGGCGAGTGGAAAGTGGCGGGTGTAAACACAGTTGGGGGAAATCCGACTTTTTTGTCGTGAGCTGATAAGGGGTTCCGAAGGATAGAGAGAGGGGGAGAGAGCAGTGGTAACCTATTGTACGGCGCACCCGTGATTCAAGAGACGCTACCGACTGCGTTTAGCACGCTTTTGTTCGGCCAATTTTACGCTGGGGTTTCAAGCTTCAGTATTGTTTTTTTTTTTTCTTCGTCGAGTTTGCTTTCTCCGAGAAGGTTGATTTTGGAAATGAGTATAGACTAAATGTACTCTTGTATGTTGTATTTGTTATGTTTTGGAGTTAATGTCTATATATCTGATTATGATTGCACTCACTTTTATTATCATCATTTTGTCACTAATAATATATAATGTAATAATTTAAATACGGATACGTAATGTGTGTTAATATAGTTACTGATAATAACAGTTCATTATCGAGCAAACGAATTTCAATATTCTATATGTACCATTGAATTTATTTGATGCTCGATAATTAATTAAAGTACTTATTCGAGTCCATTAATTTATAAAGTAACAACATATTAGAAATAAATTTTAACGAAAATTTCAATTGCTAAATATTTTAAATTTTAACTGACATATTTTGCAAAGGAAAAAAGCAATTTACTTTCACCAGTTATATCCACGATCAATAACAGCACCAGCAGTTATTTTGTAAGTGTAAAATTAAAAAAAAAAGAGAAATCGTTAACTCATGAAGTAAATCTAGCGTAAAGCTTGGTGAATGTTCGTTCACGTGCTTAGAAGAGAAAGATCGCTTTTCTAGCTGTGTGGGTACTATCCTTCTTTACGACACAAGTGAAAAAGCCAAAAGATGCCAAGGTCGATCTCTGCGCAAACGCGAGAATTTACCACGAAGGTTTGTACGCAGACACACACACGGCTTTGCCAGCAGGGTAAATAAAGCGGTGGAGCGAACGAAGAAGAGTTTATCTGTCAATATATTGATGTTTGCTATTCGCTTGACCGATTCGATATTTTAATGCTTTTCGACGATCTCTTGAAATTGTTATTCAACTTTTACTTTGGTGATAAGATTTCGAAAAACATTCTGCAAAACGCCAAGTTTTGTAAGGCTTTCAAGAATATTGACGAATACCCATGAGGTACAACATGAAAGCTGATCATGCAGCAAAAATGTTCTACACCTATCAAGATTGAACTTTTTTGGCAGCAGTTCAAGAAACATGAAGAGCTTTATCTCTATTATATCCCAAATGTCGAAAAAAAGACAAATTTTACAGTTTATTTGAACGGTTAAAATTTTACGTCAATGCATCAGAGTAACTGTCGTACACGTATGTTCAATCAAATTAGCGCATATGTCGTAAAAGATGGCATGCGAGTTTATAACAAGGCACCTTCACCACATATGAAGAGGCTAGGATTTCTGACTAACACATACACGCGACTTCCCCCTTTTGAAGAATTTGGTGAATTACGTAATTGCTTCACACGAACTCAAAAATCGTTGCCAAGCCAGATATTTTGTGGATTTAAAAGTAACTTAGAAATAGACTAATCAAGTTCAAGGAGTAAGAAAATGTATCACACAATGTTTTTCTCAAATGCTCGCTTTCACGCTAGAGGGCTTGCGAAATATGCCCACGCGCGCGCAACTTTGAAGTCAGCGTCTCGTCGGATCAATTTTTTAGAGGACGCTTAGACAGATGAAGTGGAAGTAAATAATTATTGATTTTTTCTTTCTCAAGGCTTTGAAAAACAAAGGTGAGAAATATTGTGTTCTTTATTCCTTAAATAAATAGTATGGTAGGAGAAAATATTGTCGTGAAATTGTGAATGAGTTATCTAAGAAGTAGTGTTAGTATAATTGCATTCAAGGAGACGGAAACAATCGATATTATAGAGCTTCAATGCCTTGTTCGTGTTACTCAATTCAAAATAACAACGAAGGCTGTGTCAGAGTGAAAAATACCTCGTAGAATCTTTTATTTTATTTCGTGCAATAAATATGAATATATTTTTTCGTAAATGAACGTAAGAAGTTGATAAAAAATCAGTTTCACGTTCCAAATAAAGCAGGATATACATATAGAGAACCACACAGAAAGAATTAGAGATAACTGAAAGACAAAGAGAGGGAGAGGCAATGAACACTCGATCGATAGTGACAAATATCGAGAATAACAATAAAGTTTCCGTTAAAAAAAGTTTAATTATAGAGATAGATGGAGAGTGACAAAGAGAAGAATAATTGAGAGAGAGAGAGACAGGAGAGAGAGAGAGAGAGAGAGAGAGAGAGAGAGAGAGAGAGAGAGAGAGAAAGAGAGGAATACACAGATTAACCATTTGAATATCCACTGACCATTCTAAAGTCCCGAAGGCTTGCCACGTGGTTCCTAGTAAGATGCGCGCGCGTGGTGGTGGTGGTAGCAGTAGTAGTGGTAGGAGCAGTAGTAGTAGTGCATGCGAGGCAAAGTGAGTTTGCGGACATACCCAGTATGTCCATGGTCTTAGTGTGTTGTCAAAGTTTTATATTCCGGAAGAGAGTTCAGTCTCTAGTGTGGGTTGCGAGCAGCGCTCGTGCTGCTGGCAAACCTCGTACTGGCGACTCACCAACTCTTCCAAGCACGAGCTTCTCGAACTAGCATCTACCCCGCGACGAGGCTGCTGCTCACCACCCGCGCCAACTCGCTTTGACGCGTGCGCATTGACGACCAAGGGGCGGGATCCCCCAAGATAATGGGAGGAGTCACCGCTGCCTACGATATCTCCTATATATAACAACTATTTTCTTACCGTTTCACGCCGGTATTCTTTTCTCTCTCTCTCTCTCTCTCTCTCATTCTTTCCTGGGCTACTGCCGCGGCTTCTTTTTTCTATTTCTACATTTGCGCTAATGGACCTATGATGATGGGAGATCTTTCCGTCGAAAAACTTTATATAAAAATTTTTTTCCTTTACTTTATAGTTTTATAGAACGATAGAGGTTAGAAATTATTCATTCTTAATTGTAAGGATTGAAATGTACTTTTGAATTATGACACACCGGGGTTGAGAGGCGAATACGGAAGTTTTCGGTGTGTTCGTGACAGTTGGGAAAAACTTTTGACTGTCTCATTGATTATAATTTCCTAACTTACTCTTGGTGATAATGGTGCGAGATCGCCATCTGATATCAACTCAGAAACACATAGCGAGAATGAAGTTTCAGTCGTTCTGTAAATTTTTCAAATTATGATGGAGGATAATAATCAATTAGAAATATTTACAAGTCGGTTCAGCGAGATTTGAAACGATAACTTGTCTCACACTAAATGAAAAAAAACGGAACATTTATCTTTTTTTTCCTCTCTTTTGCGCTCTAGCGATGTAAGATGCGATCGCGTTCAGTCAAATTAGCCGACCCAATTTCTCGCCTTACATAATTTATCAACGGTGTCTGGCGTCATACTGCACCGCTGCGATCTTTGAGGATATGAGTGATTTACGGAGAACAAGCTAAAAGGGTGCGCGGGGATGAACTATGATGCTAGAGCCAACGTTGAGTTATTGGATGAATTTTTATCAGCGTTTTGAGAGAAGCATGTAGCACATCAGGAATCCTCTTTCTTTTACTTCTCCTCGGGAATATTAATGCGAAATGCTTCTGGGTAATTGTTGTTGACGTCGTGAGCTTTTTCTGTTCATATCATGGATCATTCAACAAATAAGTGCATGTGTTAAGGCTATATTTTTAATAATTCATATAATATTCGAATTTCTTGTTTTTTCATGTCTAGCATTGGCCAATTTGGATATTTATAAAATATACGCATGACTTTTTCCAAATATAGATTGAAATACCTGCATGAATACTCGATCAATTTAATAAAGGAAACGTCAAAGTACGCAATAAATCCGAGACTTGAAATAAATAGAAGTCAATAGTAACACTCAACGAATAATGCATGACACTAGAGAGGATCAAAAGACCAGCACACACGTATGCCGAGTGTCAATTTCTCAGCCAGAAAACACTAGATGCGCCTCTACGCATTTATTCTTTCACGTCGAGTGCATTAGTTGGATTGGTCGGTCTCTTGTCTTTCGTTTTCGCTCATTCGAACTAAGAGCTGATTATCGTGCGGGTGACTAGGGTAGCGCGGCGAAGATGCACTCTACCTACACTGTTTATGAATTAAGGATTCTTAAATTGATCATAGGAGGGGAAACTTTTGTGATGAAGGGAATTGATGAGTAGTGATTTCTCATACGTTAAGTCATGGTAATGATTACCGTAGGTGTACAAGGCGTCGGCTCTCTGGCGATGTTTTATTAAAAAAAGTGAGTATTATTAATTTGGATTAGGAAGTAGGAACTTGACTTTGCTTTTCCGTATTTTTAGTCTGAAGAATGTTTGTTGTATTGTTAGAGAAATATCTTTTTCGACTATATTTTGGCTAAAAAAGAGTCTTTTATCATACTTTATAAAACTTGAAACGACCAGTGCATCTTACAATTCGGCATTTTTTAAATAAAAAAACGCAATCAATGTCATGCCACCAAATAACAATAAATAATCAAAGGAATGAATCAATTATTCAATAGCTCGTCGCGAAGACTTTCCAGTCGGCCGACGAATGGATAATTAAATTGCTGCCGATCGAGATTAGAATACGCCGGGGAATTCGCTTGCACGCGAGTCTAGAGCAGCAGCAAATGCTCGCGAGGAATTAAAGGCAAGCGATTAAGCGAATATCCTCACGAGCCTCGAGAGCCGTTTAATAAATGTGACATGACTTATCAGTACAATGACGAAGGAGAGAGCGAGAACTACTCTTGTGGATAGCCCTTTAATTGGAACGTCAAGTGCTTGCGACTCTCCCTCTCTTCAGGGACTCGGCGAGGAAACTACTACGGTTGTCCTGGTATTTCGTTTGTTCGACGATGGGATAATGACAAACACTGTTTTGTTCTGCATGTAATTGCTTTTAACTCATTCTGAAATTAAATTCATCAAAGTCGAAGGAAGAATTGTTCTCTTTCCAGCTGACTAAATTTACATTGTACTACTTGAGCAAATAATATGCTTGCAAGGACGACACGATGCTTATGCAAAAGAAAATAAACAAATGAGATCTTGATCGATCAAAAACATAAAGATGTTATATTGCATTAGTCGTAATCAAAGATAAGAAAAATTTCACAAGAATGTCGATACGAAGAATTTAATTCAAATTTACTTTATTAAATATTTATACGAAAGAAACCGTGGAGAGAGAAAAGTCTGTGAAAGATATGGCTGTGATTACGTGGCATGAGCAGTCGTTGAGAGAAAATGCCGCGGGCAGATAATTAAATTATATAAGTGCCTCTCCCAACTCAACCGACTTGTCGATTCTTCGCCTACCTTTTTCATTATCTATCGAGATATTTTTTAATATCAATGCGCTGCTGATGAAAATTGACTTGCGTTACGCATATGAATTGAACTTGAATACGCTAGTTATTTCTTATTTGAATACAAATTTACATGTTCAAGTCTTCTAAGTAAAAAGAAATCGGTACATGCTGAAAGATAAAGTAGCAAGGACGTCTCGACTAAGATGAACGTAAAAGGTGCAACTATCTACTTGATAAATACAAGTGTTCATTGAATAATGCAGCGCGACGTACACCTATCTGTGTGTGTGTGTGTGTGTGTGTGTGTGTGTGTGTGTGTGTGTGTGTGTGTGTGTGTGTGTGTGTGTGTGTGTGTAACGTAGAGTAAACAAGTAACCAAACCTAATTTACTCTACCTCTTGTATAAACTACGAATTTTATTCTATCTCTAATTCTAGCTCTCTCTCTCTCTCTCTCTCTTTCTCTCTCTCTCTCTCTCTCTTTCTTATCTTCTTTTTTTCTTTTGAGTGTTGGTAAATTTGCAATGAAAATTATAGGCGAGAGTCCCTCGTCTGATGGAAAGCTGAGAGCTGATAGCAGCGTTTGAATTTCGAATGTTACGTTGATGTATTTTTTAAACTAAGAAGAAGAGATTCTATTTCATTATTTGTGGCTGCTACTCGGAATTATTAGAAAACAGTGAAGTTTTTAAACTCTATTCACCGACAGTATCGATTCAGTGATTTAGTAATGAAAAATTGAAGCAATTCGTAAATATTTGAACGAGACATTGTTATCGGAAAAAGGATGAACGAAAACAAAATGTAAACATCAAATGTAAACGGTTGAAAAAATGTAATAAAAAAATCTTTCTCTAAAGAAACTGAAATGTGTCTATAATCGAGAAATGATTTTCAATCAACGTTAGCAGAATTAGATCAAAGGGCTCTCGGGCATCTCATCTTATCACTCGAAATAAACAGCAGAGGGTAATTTGGTAAGTAAGCGAATAATAATAAATGTGGCCGCAGGGGGTGCAAAAATTAGCCGTAACCGGGAGACTGATTAAACGAAATAGATAGTGAGGTAGGTTGCCAATCAATTAACTGGCTTGCCGATGATTATGGATTCGCGATGGTCTTCTCTCTCTCTCTTTCTCTCTCTCTCTCTCTCTCTCTCTCTCTCTCTCTCTCTCTCGGTTGCATTTCATTAAAAGAGCGCTCGTCGAGTCTTCGAGGCTACGACGCCATTATTCAAGTCTCTGTGCCTGTAATGGACACTTTTGCCCAAGCGCTAAATGGAATATATATATACTTCCTCGAGTAGCTTTGCGAGGTAATGGAATTTGGTCGTTATGTGCTACTGGAAAGTCATTTTGGAAAATATAGCATTCGATTGAACGACTGACGAAATACAATAAAATAGTATAAATGATAAATACAATTATTGAATTTTCGATTAAGTGCGTCAAATGCGTTATAGAATTTATACTTAAGCATGTATTACACACAAGCGGATAAATAAAAATCGCAGCGCGGTGCGCATTTGAAGTTCCTACATCTCAAAACGTCCTTACGTAATTTTCTTTCTTGCCGCGACGCGTGCAATATCGAAAGCTGAAAGAGACGCTTGCGCCGGCGAAACCGTTTAAAATAATGGAAGAAAAGATGGAGCTTCTGGCGCTTGAAATGAAAAGGCGGGTATGAGGCGCTCGCGCATCCAGCGAAGATTGGAATGGCAGAATGCGGCGCTGGCGGCCGTTATATTGGCATACCGGTCGAGCGCGAGAGAGCGAGGCAGAAGTCTATATATAGGAATACTTTAAGGAGCGACGACGACGGCTCTATAGAAAAGACGTGTCGTAACGTGGCGCGTGAACGAGACTCTATTGAGATCGGCGACGGCGCGACGCCAACGCGACGCGCAACCACTACCAGCCCTTAATTGCGATTCAATTGCCTTGGCCTTTTGTACGAGCTGGAGAATTCACTGCGGGGATACGCGGTATAGACTTTTTTTTCTCTTCTTATCCTTCTTCTTCTATATTTAACGAAAAATGTAGGTGACGTCCACAGCTATCTTGTTTAATGAAGCAATTTTCTTGCTGCATTACATTCATCTACTTTTTTGTTTTACTCCGGCTAAAGTCAATCATCTTCTTTGGAATTTTTTTATTCTTGAATTGCATGCTTTTAGCAGAATTATTTCTGATAATTCTCATTTTTACGAAAACGTACGGGAAGCTGAAATGAAATTACCAATATT